TTTCCGCGGTGGTAAATTCCTGCTACGCAAGATTCCGTGGGGACCTCCTTCTCCAAGGAGCCCCCGCTTTACAGGCTCCTCGACCCCCAGTCTCTTTCACACTCCTGTTTGCCTGGTTGCACTGGTTATTCTTTCTGTCTGACTGTCTGTCTGTCTCCCCCACCGCTGTCTGACTGATGCAGAACCCTGAGTTTGTGCCCCAGCACCACTCACCTTGCCTAACAGTTCCCAGGCTGTCGATAAATGAATTAAGGAAGGAACAGATAATATTAAGCCCTTATATTTATACAGCTCTTTATGATTTTTCAAAGTACTTTCATAGGTGTTTGGGGTTGGACTGTGTGCCCCAAAATTGTCCCCAAAAGTATCACCTGCGCGGTCTGCATTCTAGTTTATCCCCTGGGCAAGGTTGGGAGAAAGGAGGGGTGTATCCCTCCTCTGTTGTGGGGGGGGGCTAGAGGGGCAGGTACTGCCTCCCCGCCTGCTCCCAAATCAGATGCTCCTACAGGCTGTAGTGCGGGGCCCTGGGACAGACACTGTCCCCTCAAGGAGCAGGAAGGCATTTAACTGACTTCCATAAACTATGAAAAAGCACCTACAAAGTGCCGGATATTATGCTAAAGAGCCAGTCAGATGGGGACAAATTAGACATGGTACCTTCATCAGAAAAAAAGCATGTACACCTGTAGACAGCCACCATTCCGGGAAAATGGTGACAAGGGATGCAAGTAAGGTGCCATGGGCGTTTAGGAAAGATGATTTCCAGATGGGAATTCAGCAAAGACTTCTCGGTGGAGGCGGCATTATTTCAGCTAAACCCTGAAGTGAGGGCACAGTTTGGACAAGAGGCATTGATGCGGGGATGGAGGGAGATGGAGCCGTAGAGACACGCGAAGTCTCTTCAAGTTGCAGTGTCTACTACTAGCTTGAACCACATGAAAGTGCCGATATTTTACTGGTTTTACCTATAATAACATCAATTTCGGGCAATTCGACGTAATACTTACCAGGGAAGTGGCAGTGGGAAAACAGGGCGTAGAGAGAAAACAAGGCAGAAGTTCAGTGTTTTTCCTCAGTAGCTGGTACACTTTACACTGAATTTAACCTTTAGATAATGAGATGACAAATGTTCTAGGGATGGCATTTTCCTACTTTCTCAAAAGGAGACGGACACTGTGAGCTTTGTCTGTTGTCCAGAGACTAGTCCAAGCTGGACTTGAACTTTAGACTCCACCTGAATTTGCAAAGCAGTATTGCACCCCCGAATGCGGGAGTTTGAATCCTGGCTCTACCCTAACTTTCGGAGCCTGGCTTTTCTCACCCGGGAAATGGGGATAATGAGAGAATTCCGCTTCGTCCCAAGAGGGCGGACCCGTTACATGAGATGGTGCCTCAACAAGGCTTGGCGCCATCACTGGCCCACAGCCAGTGCCCGGCGGCTGTTGGCCGGTCAGGGGGCACAGGAGCATGGAGGGAGGCACCGGGTCCACCAGGCATAAAGGGAATTCCGTCATTTTGCCTTGGGGCCATGGCTTGTTCAGGAGGTGACCGGGACTGTGACCTATTTTAGCACCTATTCTAGTGATCTGTAGATGAGGGAAGGAAGACACAAGGAGTCCTAGGAGGCTTGAGTTGCTCAGGCCGGAATGACAGGAATGATGAGGCCTCCACAGGATCCTACAAAACCGTGGGGTTGCTTCCAGCCCTCAGAGCCAACCTGCTGAGAAATTCCACATTCCCAGCTCTCTCCGGCAGGCACACCTGCCTCAGACATGGGTTCTTTTGAGCAACAGGGTTTCTGCAAGCTACCAAGTCACACACACACACACACACACACACACACACACACACACACGCGCACCCCGGCCCCGGCGCAGCGGTGATATCCTCGAGGGCAGGCCTGCGTGGGCACCAGAGGTTCAGGAAAAACAGGCTCCTGGCTTTCCAGGAAAAGCCACCTTGGCCACTCTGAGGAAACGCCAAGTCCAGGGAGGTGAGGTCGCTTGAGCGTACATCCCAACCCGGAGGCCCAGGCAGGGGCGGCACCTGGGCGGGACTCCTGGCGGTCCCCGGCATGGGGTGACTTGCCGGTCCTGGCTCCCAGCCTTCTACTTCATTCTAAGCCATCTCCTGCTGGGATGGAGATGGTGTCCTACCACCACCAGGAAGACTGGCTTGTGTATCTTACCAAAAATGTCAATAAAATTTCTAGGCGACATTTAAAATTCTGAAGTAAATAGTGGTTCTGCTGGGGCACTGCCCTGAGAGAGTAGGAAAGAGCGTCAGGGAAGGTTCTCTGCCTGCCCCTTCCCCTCACGGCTGCTATCCTCCGGGACCCCCGTCTCCCTGACCAGAGGGGAGGCAAAGCCGTGCAGGGGGCCATCCAGTGAGGCCCCACTCCCTGCAGTTCCTGAGGCCGGTTCAGCTGGCACCTCTCCATTTTCCTGTTCATCTTCTACCACCTTTTCCCCCAACAAGAATCGCTGGAGCTTGAGGGCAGGAGTGAATTCTGAGCACCCTTGAGGCAGGATCGTTTCGGAGAAGGGAGACCCTTGTAAAGTCCCCAAGAGTAGCTCTTCTCTCTACAGCCCCGACAGATTCCCCTGCAGCTTACATTTTTCATTCAAGTCACCATTTCCAGCCCTGCTGACAAGTCCACGGGGACGGAAAGTGACTCTGGCTGGAAGCAACACCGTCAGCAGGCGGCCAAGGCCTAGGCCTGGTGCGCCGACACCTTGGAGCTGTCCCAGAGGCCTGGGGCCCAGGGCACCGCGGGATGGGTGGGACCAGGCCGCTGCTGCCCTCTGGAGAAGCCCCAGGCCTCAGCACTTGTCAGGGGGCCTCGTCTGTCATCCCCTGTCATCGTCAGCAGGCCCGCTCTTGCTGTCCCTCAGCTCACTTCCTCCAAGATGCCCTGGAGAATTTTCCTCTAAATTCAAAGATGGCCTCATCTTCCACTTGGTCCCCCAGTGACTGTCCTTCACGACTAACCTACCCTGGGAGATCAGTCTGTAGAAGTTCAGAGAGGATCGGTCTGTAGAAGTTCGGAGAGGTTCTGGCCCCACACAGGCTCTCCTGACTCAGAAATGTGGACGAGTCCACAGGCCCATCTCAAAGGCCTTGAGCTGGAGGGGATGGGATGGGAGGGCGGACCCCACAGGGTCAAGACACTTTTTCCTTGTGGACTCACACAGCAGCCCTGGAGTGGAGCCTTTCCCCAGGAGGTTACACGAGAGCTGAATCTTGAAAAATGGAGCGCGGTCAGGGGAAGAGGGACAGCATGTGCTGAGAGCCGGGAGGCAGGAGTTGTGAGGCCTCGGGCATTTCTGGTGTGTGAAAAGCAGGATGTGACAGGAGCTGAGCCTGGAGAGAGGCCAGGAGCCTGATCACAAATGACCTCACCTTCCGTGGTGCGCCCGTCACTGTTTAACCAGTAGCTGTGAGCGGAGTTGGGGAAGTTGCTGATTTGTAATGTTTGTGCCAACTTCCGGGAGGTAAATGCCTCCGGGCAGATTTCTATCTACTGAGAGTTTAATAATCAACTCGCAAAAATTCCTGAAAATGGAACAATCAGCTTGTGAGCTGATAAAGGCCGGTTCCAACACACTTCGGCCTCCCGGGTCACATAGAGACCCCTCCCCCTTCCCTATGTCCCTGTGGGGAGGGACCACCATTAGTTAGTTAGTCTGCAGGTTTCTGCCACAGGCTGTGGGTGTCCTCACCTCCCCCTGCCCATAGCTGATCCTTCTCTACCCCTCAGGGACACAGGTATGGAGCTCGGTCACTTCTCCTGGAGTTCCACACAAAACACCCCACACTCACACAGGGCAGCCCACTTGTGGAAACTGAGCCCATTACAACAACGTTAAATCCACCAAAAAAAATACTAAGTTGCCCATTCTTAAAATTTTTCTTAGTCATTTCCACCGTCCTGAGTTTTGTTCTCCCACCATATTTCTTTGTCCCCCTCTCTCCATCCTTGACTAACTCCCTTTGCCCTTGACACTCCTCCTCCCTAAGTCCTTCTATCTACAACCAGGAATAACTCGGCCCTTCCTCACCTGCTTCACTCAGGCACGCTTTCTGGTGCATATTCATATAGAACACTGATGGCTCATCAAGTCTGGAGAGCCTCTGGGCAATGGAGAGGAATGTTGACTACTATTTACACATGGTTTGATGCCCATTTTAAAAAATTTTTAATTGAAGTGTAGTTAACCTATAATATTAAATCAGTTTCAGGCATACAACATAGTGATTCGACAGTTTTATACATTTGGAAATGCTCACCACGGTAAGTGTATTACAATATTATTGACTATATTCCCTATGCTGTACTTTTCATCCCCATGACTTGTTTATTTTACTACTGGAAATTTACTTCTTAATCCCCTTCACCCATTCTCCCCCACCTTGGCAACCACCAGTTTGTTCTCTATATTTACGAGTCTTGTTTCTCTCCCTTTTTTGTTATTATTGTGTGTTTGTTGTGTTTTTTTCCACATATGAGCTCATGTGGTATTTGTCTTTGTCTGGCTTATTTCACTTAGTATAACACCCTCTAGGTCCATTCATATTGTTGTGAATGGCAAAATTTTATTCCTTTTTATGGCTGAGTAATATTCCATTGTGTATACACCACCTCTTCTTTATCCATTCATCTATCGTTGGGCACTTTGGCTTCCATATCTTGGCTACTGTAAATAATGGAGCAATGAACATGAGGGTGTATATATCTTTTCCAATTAGTGGTTTTGTTTTCTTCAGGTAAATACCCCAAAGTGGAATTACTAGATTGTAAAGGGTTCTTTTTTTTTTTTTTTTTAAAGATTTTATTTATTTATTTGACAGAGAAAGACACAGCGAGAGAGGGAACACAAGCAGGGGGAGTGGGAGAGGGAGAAGCAGACTCCCTGCTGAGCAGGGAGCCCGATGCGGGACTCGATCCAGGGACTCCAGGATCATGACCTGAGCCGAAGGCAGTCGCTTAACCAACTGAGCCACCCAGGCGCCCCTTCAGATCGCATAAATCTTTCGCCTTTTACTAAAGATTTCCGTGGAATTACTAGATTGTATGGTACTTCTGTTTTCAGTTTTTTGAGTAACCTCCATACTGTTTCCCACAGTGGCTGCACCAATTTACATTCCCACAGAGCACAAGGGCTGCCTTTCCTCCACACTGTCACCAACACTTGTTATTTCTTGTGTTTTTTTATGCGCCTGGTGTGAGGTGATATCTCATTGTGGCTTTTTCATTTCCTCATCAAATTCATTGTAAGCAACAATGAGATATCACTACCCACCTCTTAGAATGGCCAACCCCCCAAACAGTAATAGCAACAAATGCTGGTCAGGATGTGGAGCCACAGGAACTTTCATTCATCGCTGGGGGGCATTGCTGGGGGGATTGGGTGGGTGGGCATGCAAAACGGTATCACCACTTTGGAAGGTAGATGGCAGTTTCTTACAAAATTGAACACACTCTCATATCATCCAGCAATTGTGCTCCTTGGCATTTTACCCAATGGAGTTGAAAACTTCTGTCCACACAAAAACCAATACACAGATATTTATAGCAGCTTTATTCATAATTTGCAAAACCTGCAAGCAAACACAATGTCCTTTTTTTTGTTTAAGATTTTATTTATTTATTTGACAAAGAGAGACACCGCGAGAGAGGGAACACAAGCAGGGGGAGTGAGAGAGGGAGAAGCAGGCCTCCCGTGGAGCAGGGAGCCCGATGTGGGGCTCGATCCCAGGACTCCAGGATCACGACCTGAGCAGAAGGCAGATGCTTAACGACTGAGCCACCCAGGCGCCCCGCGCAATGTGCTTTTGTAAGTGAATAGATGAACAAACTGTGGCACACCTAGACCATGGAATATTATTCAGCCCTAAAGGGGGAAGAATGAGCTAGCAAGCCATGAAGACATGCAGGAAACGTAAGCACATGTTACAGAGTGAAAGAAGCCAAGCTGTAAAGGCTACATACTATATGACTCTAAGTATAGGACAGCCTGGAAAAGGCAAAACTAGAGAGGCAGTAAAAAGATCAGAGGTTGCCAGGGACTAGTGGGAAGGAAAGGACGAGTAGACAGAGCACAGAGGATGTTTAGGACAGTAAAACTATTCTGTAGGACACTATAATGGTGGATACATGTCAGTATACATTTGTCAAGACCCATAGACTATACACCACCAAGGGTGAACCCTACTGTTGGTTGATAATGATGTGTCAGTGTAGGTTCACTGATTGTAATAAATGTTCCACTCTTCTGGGGAATGTTGGGAGTGTTGGGAGGCTGTGTGTCGTTGGGGGCAGGCGAGCATATGGGAACTCTCCACTTTCTGCTCAGTTTTGCTATAAACCTAAAGCTGTTCTAAAAAAATAAGATCTTTTTTTTTTAAATTCATGCATTTAGCACATTGGATTTTCACAAACATTTAACATTGATTGCCAGCTTAAAGAAACACCTCCAAGCATTTAATTAAATTTACAAATTTAATACAGTAGACCCTTTTAAAAGCTCTAAACGTATTAAATATACAAAACATCGCAATTCCAAAGTGGCTTAATACCTTTATTATCAAAACCCGTTATAAAAGTGCTAATAATGTGGATTTCACTCTGTTTCTCATCCTAAATTCCACACCTTCTTGGGGTGCCAATTTTGACACCTTCCTAGGATTTCGGTGATTTTACCAAATACTATTTTTACCTTCCTAGGGATTTTAACAATCTTACCAGACCAAAAGGAAGAGAACCATCCCAAACCACTGGAGTCTGTGAAAATCTGAGTGGTTGAAGAATCGATTCTGGGTCAGGCTGTGAGCCTGGGTTGCAAAGTCTGATGAGAAGAGGTCAAATATGGGGAGCTTCCCTTGTATAATCAAATTTTGTTACTTCACTAGGTCAAGTCCACACCTTTCAGGAAGGTTTTCGGTTTCTCAGCATTACATTTTCCCCCTGAAATGAGATGAATCGGCATCTTGCTTGGCCAGCCTTATGTCATGGTATATTGCCCTGGTCTGTTAGCATTATTAAAAATGTGCATCTCCTTGCTGAATGGTGTATTTTCACCTAGAGGGGCCATCTCGAACTTTCATCCCCTAAGGAAGGAGGCGCCAAATCTCTGCAGTTCTGTCTCCCCCTGGGCCCACTATGAACACAGGGGGACCTTGCTTTGCTCAGTTGTCCTGCGTGACCTCAGGATTGAGAAGCCCTGTCCTGGGACAGTACCCACTTCTTCCAAAAAAAAAAAAAAAATTGGTTGCCTCAGAGTTCCCTGCATTTATTCTTTCTTCCTTTCACAGTTAGAAACAAGCACACATCTATCTTTTATAAACAGATTTATAATTAAGAGAAGAAACAAAAGACCTGTTTCTATGAAATGCCCCACTTACTAAAGTCAATACAAATTAACATAGCCCATTATATTCACTCTCTTTGTGATCGCCAACCATTTCTCTGTACACTTTAAAGGTTTTTTTTTTAGTATTATAATGAATCCACATTCCTTCTCTGGCTCAACTTGTTCTAATTAATGCCCTAATGGTCAAGGCTGGGTTCAGGAACCCCTTGGTTTGGCTTCTTGGTCCTCACAGCACTGCCCTTGACATTCTTAAAAGCATTCTTGCTTTCTGGCAACAACAAGACATTCCAGACCCCATCCTGATTTTTTCCCTGCCTCTTAAAGACATGGAATCAGCTGTCCTCTATGGAATCCTCATTCCTGTTAGTGGAGAATGATATTAGAGACCACAGTCTGGGAGCTTGGGGTGCACGTGAGCATGGGGGTCGGGGGAGGTGAGGGATGGGGGCAAGGGTGCTGCCTTGGTGGTAACAGACACTGAAAAATATTTATTTTTAAGATAAGGTGTTCATAGCCGTCTTTCCAACTTAACACAATGTGCCTTGTAGCTTTCACCTACTTTTTTTTTTTTTAAGATTTTATTTATTTATTTGACAGAGAGAGACACAGCGAGAGAGGGAACACAAGCAGGGGGAGTGGGAGAGGGAGAAGCAGGCCTCCCGCTGAGCAGGGAGCCCAATGTGGGGCTCGATCCCAGGACCCTGGGATCATGACCTGAGCCAAAGGCAGACGCTTAACAACTGAGCCACCCAGGCGACCCTTTCACCTACTTTTTTTACAACATGAACCTTCAGTGACCACTAAGTCTTTCTCTGTGCTGCCCTGAACAGTAAGTCACAAATTCAGCCATTCTCACCTGTTCTCCCCACTCCTTGCTGCAAGGGGAAGGAAGCTGGACGGAGATCTATATCCCCACTCACAGAGACTGGACCACCACCTCGCCCTTAGAAGGATGCTGCCCTGCAATGAATGGTTTTCATTACATTTCAAGGGAGTGGGGGCAGTGTCCCACATGCCTGGTTCTGGTCTCTGGGAGGATGGTGGAACCCACCGCTGAGTGAGAGAGAGACAGAGAGAACGAAGTGGACATATAGGGCTGTCAAGGGTGGGGGGAGACTTTGGCTTTGACCTGTTGAGTTTGAGGTGTTTCCATTCAGATGGAAATATCCAAGAGTCAGCTGGACATATGGGTCAGAATTTCTAACCTGAACCACAGGCAGAGAAAAGCTCCCCAGTTAAAGGCAGGTGGTGTGGAGCTGGCTGTTGCCAAGGGGTATTCTCCAGGGGCCGTCAACAGCTTGGGCTGTTGTTTGCTTACACTGCTTGGGAAGACTTAAAGACTCTTCTGTTTTTCTAAGTCTCATTTCATCTGAGTCCTTGCCAGGGATCCCTGATGTTTTTACTTAACACCAGAGTTCCAACCAAAATTAGCGAACAACCCAAGAGGCTGGGACCCAGAGAAGGGGCTGACCACCTCCCCCATTGCCAACCCTAGAGAACAAGGTGAAGGTGGTGGAGCCCCAGAGTCGAGGTGTAGAGGCTTTTGGAGCAAGCCCCGGCCATTCCAGAATATGGTCTCTGCCTCCCCTGGTTTTCCTGGTGGGTCTGGAGCCTCTGGAGGAACCACAGAGGTGAGGAACAGAGGGGGCGTTGCAGAGAAAGGATCCTCTCCCACCCTCCAAGGAGCCATCCTGGTGGTGGTGTGCAGCGGGTCTGGCCTGAGCGTCATCGGCCCCCAGAACTCAGCCGTTGGCCAAGGCAGTGGCTAGGCCTCACCCTCAGAGTCACCGCCGCTCTTTCCTGGGACCATCTGCAGACTGCACTCATCGGAGAGTGTTGTTTGAATTGAGACAGGCACTAGACAGCCTGTTTTCACTCAGGGTCTGGACTTGGCCCCGTGGATCTCGGTTGTTTACCTAATCTAGTGTTGGGTTATATTTTTCCCCTCGACTGATTACAAGAAGGTGCCAAATGTAATCAACCCCCTCACCCTCATCACTGTTCTCCACTCTGAGCCAGAGAAAGTCAGAGCTCTCTCCAGGCTAACGGCTTGTCCAGGGGCCCTGCTTCCAGCCTGATTTCTTTTCCCAACACAGACCCAACCTAGTGAGTGCTGTCTCCTCACTGGTCCCCCACTCACCCCACACACTCCCTGCCCATTCCCATCTCCCAGCCTGGCTTGCCCTTCCCGTGTCTTTATACCAACTGGGATCACACCCATCCTTCCCAGCCAAGCTCAGGAGGCTGGCCCCACCGTGGTGGGGACTCATCAATTCTCAAGGTCAAAGTAGAGTGTAACCCAGACCCTGCCTTCCAGAAGCTTCTCACACAGATGGAGGCACAGCGTGTACCTTAAAAATGACAACCACAATGGAGAGGGATAGGAACTTCCTCTCGGGTGTTTGCAGGACTTAGACCCTTGCCTTCTTCGGCTCTCCCGGGAGCTTCTGCCTGTCACCTCATTGTCACCCCCCCCCACCGCCCCAACACCCCAGCCCCTCTTCCTGCCCAGTGGGGTGTGGCTCCGAAGTTCCAGCTGCTTCCTGAGGTCGTTGGAAATGACAACTTTTGCTGTGTTGAGACCTCCTGACTCGCTAGGGCTTGGGAGTGATGGGAAGCCGCCACGCTGGGACTCGAGCCTGGGATCAGCACCTACCCGCTCCTAGAGACAGGTGGGTCCTTCCGGCCCCGGGCTGCCAGACACCTACCCCAGCGTGTGGGGTGATGCGGGAAGCTCACTGGCATGAA